TTCCAGTGGAGAAATCAATTTAAAAGCAACAGACACTTTTGTGAAATGTATACATACTGTCCATGAAAGCTAAATTAATAGCGCTGGAAAGATTTTTGCAGTAAATAACATTTCAGTAGTAAATTTATTCCCATCTTGCTTTTTCACAACCCATAATTAGCAGCTCTCATTTAAAAAATATTGTTGTATATTTTCAAAGCTTAACTTCTAAGGGGAAGTTTTTAATAAAGGATAAATGTGGATGTGTCCAGCTAGGAAAAACTGCAGCGGAAAGGATACTGCCTTTTCCTGCTAGCAAAGAAACCTAATTAAATGAGTGGCTTTGCTGGGTAACCCAAAGAAATTAGCACACATCTGTGTACCATCCAGCACGTCGTACGCTATCAATGCTGTTTCCGCACTTGCTGAAGAACTCTTTCCTCCTAACACATTCCCCAGAAATGGAGTGTGATGATCCATTTTGTTTTGAGCTGGACCCCAGGTCCCCAGGGCTGACGGACCGGCTGGACGTGGCTGCAGCCCCAGCCGAGGCGGCAGGCAGGAGCAGGGCGGCTCGGCTCGGGAGGCAACGAGCCCCAAGCACTGCTGATGGAGGGGTTGCAGACCCTGTAATTCCTCAGATCCACAGGAATAAACCTAATTCTGAAGAAGGCATAACATCAGTTTGTTCTTCAGAAGCCCTCTTAGCATAAAGCTCGAGATGTAAAGTTTTCTCAGGAGGAGTCTCTAAGAAGGTCAGGTTTCGGACAAGGGTGACTCCAGGCTTTCCCACAGGAATGGGCAATGCCAGAAAGGCGGCAGGAGCTCTGCATGGGATGAGCTGCTGGAGGACAGGGGGACCCTGTCTGTCCTCAGCCCTGCAATAACGAACCCCAGAGCACCAGTAAATGGTAATTTAGAGAGCATCCCAGCTTACCGTTTCCTCCCATTAACTGCAAGGCACTCATGCAGTGATCATCATCTTCTTCTATTTCTTCCTCTTCCACCTCTTCATCAGGGTTATACGCTACCGGGCCACTCTCCACTAGCACAGCCGCTGGTTTTTCTAAGTCAGGGGCTTCTGCTTGTGCACTTGGGAAGATCGCCTGCAAAAAAGAAAAGGTGACAGTAAAGCAGCCCTTTCTTTTGTTCAATATTTGTACAAAACATTAGCAGCTTCCACATAGGGAAGCCCACATCCAGTGCTAGAGGCTTAGCTCTTCCACAGGACATGAAAGTTGCTCAGTGAAATGTTGCCCAAATGAAAGTCAGGCACAAACATCCACAGTTTTCACATAATTCATAGCCAGGTAAGTGAAATACCCAGGGAACAAGGATCCTCTCGCAAGCACAATGTAAGGAGAAATCTGGGAGTGAAGGCTCCTCAGCAGAGCTCTGCAGGAAAACTTACAACCTTTTCCTCAGCTCACATTAGGCCTATTACAGAATAACAACGTTATTGACACTTTAATGATAGTAGAAATGTACCCTTCAAATCAGAAAAACCTCAACATGTATTAGTTTTGACAGCTCCGGTTGGATTTATTTGGAGGCGCAATGAGCTGTGGAACAAATAGCACTCTTTAGACAGCACTTAATGGGATGGCAGAGCACTAGGTTGATGATACACGCCAGCACCTGTAACATTACCTATGAAATTCATCAGAACAATGATCTCCAAACCCTAACTTGGGAACTGATCACTGACGGGACCCTCTCCATACGTGCACCTCCCCAGCTGCTCCAAGGTTAGGAAGGACACAGGGACAGAAAGGGCAACACGGCAAGGAGACAGAGGTGAATGTGGAGAAGGTAATACTGTCTTTGGTTCCCTAATGACAGATCTGGGAATGGGGCAGGAACCAGGCGCTGGTCTCTCTGGAGCTTTCACTCCCATGGTGTGCTCAGTGTACGGCTCCACCTCCCTCTCTCATCCAGGGGACAAACATTAGGAGCTTTATCTCCACCAGCTTTGTAACAGGGCACTTTTCACCTCCCTTCTGTACTTGGACTATTTGGGGTTTGTACACTAGAGCCTGTGGCTCAAAAAGGACATCCCATTAGTGGCAACTTGAAGAATATTAAAGATTAACTATTAACACTGCTTTGTTGTGTAAGCAGTTTTTGAGAAATGGGAATACTTAACAGTACCCGTCATTAGTCAGCAATTATCAGCACGATGGAAAAGACTGGGACCACTTCCTTGGGAAGGACAGTGGCAAGGTGCTCCTAACAATGAATGGTCCAAAGCACACCAGGAAACCTCAACTCCTCTGCTCCCTACCACAAGAAAAGTCCTACAGTGCTCTAGGTTTTAAATCACAGCACACAACTATGTGCTGCTGCATCTTATCCAAGTCTGTTGGCAGTAAATTCTGATTCAGCATTGTAATTTATTTTTATTTATTTATTTATAAATGTATTTACTTGGGATGCAGTTAACTCCCAGAATCCCTATAACTCCAGGCACTTTAGAGATACAGCATAAGAGAAAGTCCCTGTACCAGAAAGTTGATAGTCTAATTATTCACACATCAAAGCTGTTCCTTAACTTGTCATATACCATGCCAGTCAACCTAAAGTATCAGCCTGAGTTTTTCAAAGTCACCTAAGGGTTTGCTCCAATAGCTCATTAATAGGGCAAAAGACACTCATTAATTTTAATAGAAAATCAAGTATTTAGATATTTGGATCATTCGAAGACAGGTTTTCATGATTTTTTAATGCTCAAATTAATCATATTATTTAGAGGAACTTCCCTCCAGTTTATTTTATATTTCCTACCACTGCTTTTGCCTCTAGAGTGATCAAATTCAGTCCACCTAGGTTTCTATTTCTAAGCAGAAATAGACACAACAGTTTGAGACAAATCAGCATCATAATATATATCAATTTATATGCTTAAAAATATCCATCTGCTCTGAAAAAGTGGGTGAATATAAAGGAGCTACAATTGAGTCATTATTTTTTAAAATTGCACTGCACTAATTAAAATGTGACCTTCTTCTAATTATCATGTCCACTTCCAGACTGCTATACTTCTAAAAATGTGCAGAATTTTCTAATGAGCATAGCATAAGAAGTGAAAATGTATTTCCCCAGGCAGGATATCAAACTGTTTCTGAAAATCAATGGGTTTTAGTCATTCCGAAAATAAGGCAGTCAAACAATGCCTTTAAATAAAACTTCCTGAATTTACTTCCAGATATCCTGGACTTCAGTTTGGCATACATCTTTATGTATGGATGGGCAAGTGTCAAAGCATGTTAAACTAGCAAAGTGCTGTGGTTTAACTCGGCCAGCAGCTAAAACAATCAGACAGCTGTTTGCTCACTGCCCCCCTCCCAGTGGGATTGGGGAGAGAATCGAAAAGAAACTCATGGGTTGAGATAAAGACAGTTTAATAGCACAGAAAAGGAAGATGATGATGATCATAATAAATACACAAACCAAGCGATGCACAGCACAATTTCTCAACATCCAAAGCCAATGCTCAGCTAGTTCCTGACCCGTGCCGCCTCCCGGCAAACCCCCAGTCATGCAGCATGACGCCATACAATATGGAATATCCCTTTGGCCAGTTTGGGTCAGCTCTCCTGGCCGTGCCCCCTCCCAGCTTCTCGGTCACCCCCCACCTTCTCGTTGGCAGGGCAGTATGAGAAGCTGCAAAGTCCTTGACTGCTTGGCAACAACCAAAACATCAGTGTGTTATCAGCATTGTTCTCATCCTAAATCCAAAACACAGCACTATACCAGCTGCTAGGGAGAAAATTTAACTCTATCCCAGCTGAAACCAGGACACCGACTTAAGTGGTTCACTTTCAAAACGGTGTCAGTGTCACACATTCATTGGAAAACCAAGGAAAACAAATACCTTTGGAAGACAAATACCTTTGGTATATTAGGAACAGAATTTTTAGGTATGCAGTAGATAGATAGTTGTTTTATCAAACACAAAATGCATATGTCTACTTCGTACAGTGTGAGTACAATAGTGAAAGAAAGCAGTTATTGCTGTGACTGAAAATAATCACGATCCCTTTGGAAGAAGATGTATGTTCACAAAGCCACCCAGGGAGGGTTTCTGGCAGTGGCCACTCACTAGCACTAACTCTTCGATGGCACTATTATATTTTCAAACTAAACAAAGGAACCAAACAAAAAGTAAGCCATGCTATATAGGGTAAGCTGTCACTTTGCGTTTCCTCTCCCGTCTTCCGCAGAAGCAGGGCGCTTCCCTTGGGTCAGTGCTGGCTGCACAGAAGCCGCATTTTGCATCGTTCTCCTTCTCTGCGGGGACGGTCCAAGTGCTGAGAAACAGCCCCAAGCTCTGCCCTCTCCTACTCCTCCTACCCACTTGTGTGATACGTACCTTTTTAGATGCTTGCTGGAAGGTTTGTTTTTTTTCTTTTTTGCTGTCTAACCAGGGATTATGAGGCTGTGCTAAGGTTACTGATGGATAAGTAAGGGCAAATCTTGGTTAGAAAACAGGCAATGTCAGCTTTGCAGTGTTTGCAGTAACCAGCTCGTGGTCTGATCAGACAAGGTTCTCGTTTCTTTTGCCCATTATCTACCACATAACCAGAGGTGGGCTGAGAGGCTTGTGGGAATTTCCAAACTCAAACACAAACTGTTGCACCAGGACAAGTGCTGGACTTTACATACCTCTTCAGTGGCAGCCTTTTTAGCAAGCTGTGTTGAAATCAAGGGTCTTAATCTGCAAAAAAGGAAAGAAGAAATGGTGAACATCAGCAAATTTACACCACACACAACTGATTTTGACACAGAGTATTCACTCTCCAAACAGTGAAAGCACTTTGCTAGTGTTATGTTGTGCAATTACTTTTTTAAAGATAGAAGATAAAGAGCGGAAAGCCACAGACTCCACAATAATTAATATGCACACTCCCTTGTAAGCATCTGCCCCAGCTCAGGAGAGTAAGAAAAGATGCCAGTCAACAAGCAGAATCTCATCTCACACTGCAGCCCCGGCTTTGTAATAGGTGGTTTTGTCACATATTACAAAAGTCAAAAGACTCAACCGTTTTTTTGGAAGAATGCAGACATGGCAAAAACGAGCCGCACTGAATTACCCAGGAACACTCTGCAACTACTCCCCTGTATCTGCTGATATATCCAGGATACCAGTAAGATTATACACGCAGGATATTGTAATCATCACAGATGAAATGCTAACCTCCAGCTACAGAAATCATAATCAAGACCAAGGGGACCCTGCATACCTTGAATGAAAGATGACAGAAATCGAACATAAGCATTTTTAAAAATGCTGCATCAGATACAAGAGAGACCTGTTTATCTGGGGAGAAAAGACGGATCAGTATTACTCTATAGCTAAGTGTTAAATATTGTTCTTTCTGAAAAACATTTCATAGCCTGCTGTCTCCTTACTGCCATGAAGGCTGTTCTGAATCCATCATTTAGTGCTGCTTTCTGGTCTCTCCTCCTCACCTAGATCTATCTAGTCATGAAGAGGATGACTTGCTTTCTACTGAAACACTGCTCAGACAGCTCCTCAAGTACATCTTTTAGCTAAGTCTAGGCAAACAACTTAATGAATACCAATTTATGTCTCCAGAGATATAGTCCTTTATGATAAGCAGTATCTTTCCTCTCATTTTTCTATTAGTCATTCCTCCCTGTTCACACACAGATACTAGTTGTTTTCCTACTTATTTATTTATATATTTATTTCAAATAATCAGCAGGAGGAAACAAAACCCCAGAGAATGAGCAGGGGAGACTCAGATCATTATCTCTGATGGAGAAGACATCATTTTAATATTAAAATACAAGATATTGGCTAAGCTCCAAAAAGGTTCAGAAACTGGTCATCTCTGCAATGCTCTGCAAGACCAGAAAGGCATTTTGGCAACCAAAATAGTCCAAGGTGCCTCCTTACAGTAGATCTGAACAAAAAGAAGCCACAGGAATGCTTCAGGAGCTGTACCACTGACGGATCCAGAACTCATTATTCTGCTACAGATACTTGTGTCATATTTCATAATTATGAAAAATTTCAAGAGATACTTTAGACCCTCATAAACTATCTATTACAAATCCTGGTGGACTTCTGGGCTTAGAGAGAATGTATTTGAAGGCATGGACACACTCGTCCCTATGTGCCTGGCCTTCTCTTTCCTTCATCTAAACTGAATAGTAGAGTTTTCACAGAATCACAGAATGTTTTAGGTTGAAAGGGACCTTTAAAGGTCATCTGGTCCAACCCCCTGCAATGAGCAGGGACATCTTCAACTGCATCAGGTTGCTCAGAGTCCCATCCAACCTGACCTTGAATGTTTCAAGGGATGGGGCATCTACCACCTCTCTGGGCAACCTGTTCCAGTGTTTCACCACCCTCATCATAAAAAATTTCTTATTTCCTAAAATTTGAGACTACCTGCCTACTGTCAATCAGTGTTTTCAAAAGTCACCCTGTTTAGATGCTTACGAACATACGGATGCAGCAATGTCAAAAGGTTATGTAGCTGAAGGATGCTAATTACCCAACAGGTTGTATTTCATTGACATGACTGAAACAACCCAACAGGGGTAAGAAATGGAGGACCTTTATTTTAAGCCAGTAGTAGTGATTATTGCAATTAACATTGTACCAAAGATAGCACCTATTTCCTCCTGCTACCAAAAGACATCAGACCTCCCTGGAGCACCCTGAAATTTTTCCTCCCCCCAATTAAAATCAAGCTGTTGAGTAAGACTCACAAGGTAATCAGAAACTGCTGACATTTCTTTTAGAGCAAATTATACATGTGCTCACACAGTGAAGAAAACAATCACAGCTATAGGAAGCAAAGAGTAAACATTCCAGTTTCATTTTAATTAAAATGGTCCCCTAATGAAAATAAAAAGATTCACGCTTATGAAAAGCCTATTTGCAAACTTCAGTGCTAAATCCAAGAGCCCTTCTATACCGTTTTTCACTTCCCTACTAGAAATATAGCGCTGCCATTCGATTTGGGCAATACAGCTTCTCTTTCAGCATAATATCTAATGTGTGAAAAGCAGCGGGTCGGATTCTGCTCCTGCTCCGGCTGTCGGGTACCTGCTGCAGTGCGGATCTGAAGGGGTCCCTTGCCGTGCGGGCTCACCAGCCAACTCGCTGTGCCTCCGTACTATGTGCTACCTACAAACAGTAGCGATGAAAACTGGGAAAAAAGTAAAACCATGGCAAAGAGGGACAAAAACTTATTCCCCTCGCCCCCGAAATAATGTCTTTGATTAAAATTACATAAAATGCATAAAAGTTATAAATATAGAAAAAGATAAGTTAATTACTCTCCCTCGGTTCTCCTTATGCCTACAGAGAACCCTACTATTACTGTACAGAGCCATTTGGGAAGGTTTTATAGTGAGGTTTTTGTTTTGTTTCTTAAATGCCCCGATGCCCTGACCTCCTTAAACCAGAGCAGCTGCTGCCACACCAGCCATATGGAGCAATAAATTACTGGCTGCCATGGCTACAGATACGGGCTCCTTCTGCTGTCTGGCTGCACCACAGAGGGCGGAAAAAAGTGTCTTCGTGGAAGAGCATGACTGTTTTTGAGGCTGGGATAGGTTTGAGTGTTAATGATCAAAAAAGCAGCTTGAAAAAACAACTAACTGAATTATCTTAGGCAATTTTTAATGTGCGTGACTCAACCTCAGCTGTGAAAGGCTACCAAGGTACACACATGCAAATATACACTACACGTGAAAAATCCTGTCCATCAAAGTCCAGTTTGAATTCAGGGTTGCCAAGTTCCATAAATAACAATAATATCCTACATTAAGATACGATCCTATATATGCTAAAGCAACAAGGGCCTCTATTTAAAATGGAATGTTGTGACTGGAAAGTAATGGGGCTTGCCAAGTGTTTCAGTAGTTGTTCACTATTTATGATGATTTCTAGTTTGGGGCACTTTCGTTATGAACTTTGCAAATTAATACAGTACTTTGTGGGAGGGAGCAACAAAACACGCAACTTTCTGAACAGCAGCGTGATCCGTAAAACACACAGCCTCAAGTGTTACATCCACATTTCAAACTACTTCAAAAATTATGCAGATCTACAAACGCTCATGTCAGCCAACACACGTAACTCTGGAAGCAGATAATCTTGACATGTTTGCGACAAAAACTAATGGCACGGTACATGGCATCAGAGGCTGCTCCCTGCTGAAACCGCTCCACTCTCAGCTGAGATGTGCACAATAACGTCTAGGTTTGTCCTCCAGCTTAACAATTTAAAAGAAGATTCAATATAATAGCTCCTGACAGGGCTGGAGATCACACAGACTGAACTTTCAAAGTGAGCACATTCTCTGAAAAACAAGCTGGCTGTGACAAACAACTGTTTTTATTTTGCTTATTATTTAATAACAAAAGATTACACAGCACAGTACATAAAAAAGAAAAAGCACTGCGAGGCAATAAAACCACCTAACTTGCATCAGGCTGTTCACCCACCAAAAAGGTTTATGATACCATAACAATCTCCTCAGTGCAATCCTGCAAGTAATTTGGAAACTCACCCAAAGCTCTGTTTCTTACCGAATTTTAATTTAATCCATCCAAGTAGGGAACATCTTATTGCTGCTTACCGCCCATACTAATTTTATACGTGGACAATCCCAGAATACACGATGGAAAGCAGAGACACAATGGAGCCCGCAGCCACAAGCCTACAATGTAATTATGCGGGTCATCTAGGACAAATGCCTATAAAACCTATATATCCATACCACAGGCCCTTCATACGTATGCCACTTCAGTGACAGACAAAGCTACTGAGAGACAACTTGGCGAGAGACCGGGCAGGTTCTTCATGCTGGCTGAGATCCTCCTCCCACCTGAGGCCAGATGGTTTTGCCTCAGGAGGTCAGTTTACCAGACATCTGCGTGAGAAGGAAATTAATATAAATGTTTACCCCGGCTAAAAGTGCCCTTTAATTAGGTACCGTCAATGTTATCCTTACCGGAAAGCTGGGAATTACCTCTCTGCGAGGATTTAATGCTCTTGTGGGAAACACAATGACGTCAGGAAATACTGACCCACTGTTCTGCCATCAGGTCAGGACAAAGGGGTGACTCTCCTGGACTCGGACCGCTGCTCTTTTCCAGAGGGCAAAACAGAGACTGCAATCACAACCGCGACCCCGGAGCACTTTGGGGTTTGCACATCCAGCTGCAGATCCCACCGTCTCCTACATCTGCTTCTGGCTGAGAGCCATTCCCTCCCCTAGAGAGGAAACCAAGGCGTGTGGCCAAAGCCATGGATGGTTGTGACACCGGTGAATGGCTGCCTGATGCCTTGAGGACAGGGCTGAGGTGTAAGGGTGCACCGTGGTACACCAGAAGAAGTCCAGATACAACCACAGACAACATCACGCTCTGCAGAAAGACAAAGCAGCTCCGATGTTCACACTTTGAAGCCATGTGTGCCCAAAGGTGAGGAAGGCAAGGGTTTTTTGGCTTTCTGAAGGGCAGGCTGATCAGCACTTCACCCAGCCCAGCTCACCATCAGAGTGAAAGCCCCAGGGAGTTTCCTGGAATCCCTCTCCCCAGTGATAGGGCTGCAGAGACTCCCACCAATGACCAAAAGACACCAACTGAAGAGCACTTCCACATTGCTATGAGCTCAGCTCACGCATAGCAATGTCCCTTGGAGCTGGTGAACCTCAATGTTGCCAGCTG